CAAATCCGGTGTTAAACTATAGATTTAGCATGGTTACAGTTCATCAAATTTCTAGAGGCTTTCGACGGTTAGACAGAGAAAGCACTACTGACAGGCATCCCGACGGATTTACGCAATGAAAGTACACTCTGCGCATCAAGTATTTCACTATTTCATTCAGACGTAAATGTCAGATGTAAATTTCGCTAAAACATTTCTTTTATTTTCGTTTGTGTTTTTTGCTCATTACAGTTTAATAGAACCTAAGTATGGAGTTTAATAGCAAATTAAGAGGCCGCGTGATTAACAGTCAATCTCGCGAAATAATAGCCAATGTTATAGAGTTTATGAGAAGAGAAGGAAACTTTAATTCACCTTCAATACCATTTAAAAATGTAAATGATCGTGTTGCTGCAGCCACAGGAGTATCTAAAAACACTATCGTCCGCATTTCTGGAGAGAAGAAAAGAATCGATAACCGTGAGATATCGGAATTTTCATCACCAAGAAAAACCATTAAAAAACCAAAAACAGTTAATGATATAGATGAAGCTGCACAAGAATCAAATTTTATTTTTTATTATTAGATAGCTATTTTTGTTTCTGAGTTGTGTTCATTTACAGGCTCAATTTTTTTCCGTTTCTCCTTTTTGATTTTATATGGGGTTTCAAGTTGTTTTTGACTTATTTCGACGTAAATCACAACAACACACTTTTTTAATAAAGCAAACAAGTGTTAAGAGGTATATGTACGTGTAAACTACAATTACAAAAAATTGATATGAAACCCATGAAACCACCAACAAAAATGTAAAGCTAGCTTCCGTACTAGAACATGGTGTCATTCGTCGAGATAATTTATCGTTTTGTTTAATAGATCAAGAAATGTAAATATTCCCCTGTTATTTTTTATAAAATTATAAGAGAAATAAATTTTTTTCTAAATAGTATAGTTTATTATTTTGTAGAAAAACAAAATTTCGAAAATTTTAGTAATGTTTCAGAAACAACCGTTATTATAATAGGTACCATTTTCCTTAATAAGGTAGAAATAAAATATAAACTATTTCCACGATTTACAAAGGCCTACAAAAAAATTATAGGTATTTTCCGCTATCCTATAAAATTTATATTTTCTGACTCAATTTCAAAAGGTTGAAGGAATTCCAAAACACCTTTTATGGCATAATAATTATTTTCAATTCTACATACTATCTTTAGCTGCTTTTAAAAACGTTCTAAGAAAGTCCAATCAGACCAATTTAATCCCTAAACTATTCCACACTTTTAAAATTTAATTACCTAAAAATATTAAAAACTATTTAAAATAACTTGTTTAGCAGACTGTACAATAGCTATCTTAGTCACACGTAGCGCGTTCTCTGTCTGGGCGTCGAACACCTCTAGAAATTTGATGAACTGTACTCTATTGGAGGTAAATTTGCATGTTTTCTTGTAAAATAGAAAAGTTATAATAAAATTTATTTTATCTATATAAACAAGCAACTATTTAAACAAATATGTTAAAATATTGTTACCCATCACTCTACAGTGTGTTGCAGTCGTCATAAGTGAAGGTGCGACTAAAAGAAACATCTGGTCGCATTCGATTTTCTCTTAGAATTTGTCTGGACGGTCGGGAGGGTTCTAGAAAGTTAAATCGACCTATGTCGGTGATTCTGACGTCAGTTTTATGATAGACGTTATTCGCTCCGTGCGAAGTCACGGAAAGGGAAGCAAAAGCGATACTAGCGCTAGCTGCGGATAATTCGTGCATTTTAGGGCGATATTTTGTAATTTTGACATATCAAATACACGTATACATTTTACTTTTTTTCAAAAAAGTAGGTGAAAACAATACAGTAAGCAACCGGAGTTGCTGTGTTGAAAATTGTACAAATACTAGCAAAAAAAAACAGTGAAACTTATATAAAAAATTTCAGTAGCAAAGTAGAAATTAAATCAAAGAAATAAATGGATAGGTGTACAATAAGAAGAAAAATTACCTTTATTTTTGTAATAATAACAGTAATGCTGGAAATAGTAGACATCAGAAACTTGAAAGGTTTTAAATAAACAATAAATTATTATTTTACGATGTTCTTTAATATCCCTTTATTCTTAAATGTTCATTCAGCAAGGACTAGATTTCAAGATTTCTGCCTTTGATTATTATTATTATTATTATTATTATTATATGTGGCTGGAATACAATTTTGTAACTTACTGATGGGAAACCAGTTTTAATCATTCATTCTGTTTTGTTTTCAACAAAAATGAAAATATAAATAACGATCCTTTTTTATACATTTTAACTTCACGCTATTATTAAATGGTATTTTTTATTTTGACAGAATAATTCTTCAATGACAACTTATTAGACTTAGGCAACTTCTTATACATTTTCCAGTAAATACTGTTGTCTGCCTATATTTTATTATTCATTTTTATTGATTATACATAATTTTCTTTAATTTAAGAGATAAAAATATATAATAATAATAAATTAATGTTTTACAAATCCATAAACTTTTATTAAAACTAACATATATACTTTTTAATTACGAATTCTATTAAAAATTGCATTTGTCAGTATACGCAGAAATAGTCCATTAATACCAAAAAGGAATTGGCGCTGCTGTCGCGCACGGAGCGAATACGTTAATGTTATCATTTGTATAGTTATTGTAAAAGTTGAGTTGCCATAAATTGAGTTACCAAAAACCTGCGTAACATTGCTGACAGAGGTGGGATATAAAACAAAAGTTACCCAAGCATTCTATTCATGGTATATACTAGATCCACTGCGCACGAAGCAGATATGGTTGCTTCAGGCCCACCAGCATGGTTTTTGAAGATGAAAGAGTAAAAGGAAAAGCGTAGTAAGGAAGACGACGAGAAGAGGGAAAGCCGAGAAAGGAGAAGGAAAGGCATAGAAAAGCAGAGGTGGAAATGACTTGCTACAAATTCAAGAAAACTTTAGATAGGAGGTAGGTCAGATGAACAGTCGAATATACGATATCTCTAAGCACAACAAGAGAATTTAAAAACTAATTTAAAACAACAAAAAACGGCTGAAGTAGAGTTATAAAGGCAAATAAGAACTAAATTAGTTGAGTTAGAAAGAAGAATTCGTAGCCTAGCTTTTGGTAAGGAACAGAAACACTACTTCATTCTCATCTATAACCGAACCAAGCCATATCCAAAAACAAGTTTCACAGAGCCATACTAGCAAGACCATTAAGTCAACCACGTTTGACAGTCAGACAACATGGGAAACGTATCGAATCCAATTCGAACTTGCAGCTACAGAGAATGGCTGGGCTAAAAAAAGATAGCGGCTTCATTGGCAGTATCGCTGCAACGGTTTTACAGTTACTTTCCCAATAAGAACCCAGTTATTCACCTCTCGTCCAAGCTTTGAAGACAAGATATGACCAGCAGCATTTAAAACGGGTATTCCAAAGTCAGCTAAAGGTTCGTAGTCAGAAACGTAATGAGAGTTTATAGGAATTCGAGGCTGACATAAGAAGATTGATTCATCTTATAATTATAAACATTTTTATTAATTTTGACAAGTCTTTACTTTAACTAGTCGAATTCGAATATAATATTTTGTCATTTGTTCATACTAACAGGGATTCGTTTATTATTGTACATTATGATGTTATGTTGGCAATGGGGTGTTGATACAAGGAAATGTCTGAATGCCTATAACGACCATTTCTATCCTATCTTCTCAAGGAAGTGTAGCATTTGGATTGGATTCAAGTTAGATAAATATCCCTCTTCTATTTGATATGCTCCTAGGTATAATTCCCTTGGATTCTGGAGTGCTATACATTCGGTCAGAATGTGAATGGAAGTTTCGTCGGTCTCCTCCTCATAGAATCTGCACTCACTGTCTTCTACTACTCTCATTTTACTAAGGTGTAATTTTAGTCGACAATGCACAGTTAAGATCCCTGTTACAATACGTAACCTGTTCTTCCTCAGGCAAATGCAGGCTTCCGATCTTTTCTGGTTATATTCACCCAGAAATATCTTAGCCTGTCTTAGCCCTAAGAGATCATTCCAATTATCGGTTCTACTACCCAATTCTTTTACAATCTCTTCTAATATTATGTTACTGCTGATAACGAAAAACGGCTCAGGTCCCACAAAGGGTGTTCCTTGCCAGACTATCTCGCTACCCTATATTCCGTTATGTCCCGGGACCCAAGTGTGAGTAACTTTATTTTTCTCGCCTAGCTCATACAGTTTTTTTTAGTCATCTCCAGGCCATTTTTGATCTGATTAGGTAAGATCTCAGCACTTTAATCGCTGCTTGGCTATCGGACATGATGATAATCTCTTGCATACGATAGTTTTTTTCCATGTTAAACTGTATATACTTCTCGATGGCGTGAATTTGCGCCTGGAAGATGCTTGGGTATTTTCCCAAAATTTCAGAGTGCCTGGTTCTAGGCCCATACACTCCTATTCCAGTTTATTCTATGGTTTTGGAACCATCTGTATACTACTGCATAGCATGTCTTTCGGCTGTAAGAACGATGGATTCTTGACTCTATTCTTTCTTGCAGCCCAGCTCTGTGATTTTGAAGTTTTTCAGAAAACTGTAGTTCTTTCTCATTTCATCTTGAAGCATATCCCAAGAATCTTCGGTCCTAAAGCTAATAGACTTTTGTTTGATTATTCCGTTTCTGATCATTCTATATCCTGTCCTTTTTTCTACATTCTCTATCAATAAATGTAGAGGTGTGAGGTTTAAGATCACCTCCATTGCTGCTGTACGACAGGTTTTCATTGTACCGGTGATGCAAACACAGGCTAGCCTTTGTACTTTTGAGATATTAGCTCTTGTAGGAGCTAAACTAGTTCTGTTACTCCAGGCTATAGCCCCGTAAGTGATGATTGGTCTCACTATTGCAGTTTATGCTAACAGGGATCCTTAATTATTATACATTTAAGATTAAATATTAATGTTACCTAAGAACTACAATTCACTTTCTTTGTTTCAGTTCTGATGTAGTTAACCAATCAAATCCACCTCCAAGAAATCGATCAACTTCCAGGTCTACTCCGAATAATATAGGAAATAAAGGTAAATTAAAATTGTGATTTTGAAATAAATATCAAGTTCTAGTTCTAGTTCGACCTCTTTTTATTATTTATGTAGTAATACGGTAGCTGAATTTTATTTTTAAAGCAATTTTCTCAGGTATTATAAATAAAAAAAATATTAGCTTTATTTGGTAGATACCAATAAATTTATAATATATTTTCTAACAAAATAACGAACGATTTTATTTGTGTTCCACATCGCTTTTTTTCTTCATAATAATACCTTACAATACAAGCTAATAAAGCGGAACAATAGCAGGTCGAAAATACAACAAAAGAGATGAAGATCTCATATCTACCAACGAGGTGAAAGAAATGATTTTCACTTTACAAAACAAGTTGGCTCCAAGGCCTGAGGAAATCAGCAATATCCTTCTAATTTTTTTTTAAAGGGCCATTATGCGACTACACTATTTATCCAATATTAAATACACAGCAGATACTTCCCAACTGCACTAGATTGTAAATGTCATGCCTATTAAGGTACGTGGATACTAGCAAGAAATTTGCCACATTTATTGCGATAGTAGATGTCAGTGCATGTGTAAACATGCTCCGGAGAGCAAGATCCACCAGTTCAGTATGTATTGCGACGGTTAATATCAGTAAGTTAATTTTTTTAGCGAGAGCTGACTTTTAATTAAATTAAATCAACTTGTTTACAAGATTCAAATAAAAGTCATCGTTCAATCGCGAGTTCTTTACCCATACGGCACAAATAGGTCCATTGGACGCCCATTTCATATATAATTGTGGATGTTTGGACTTCCGACATCCAATGGACGTCTAGTGAAGTATGGCACACTTTTGGCCACTGTCCTTTGAATTTGGACTTAAATACTGGCAGAGCTGGGCACGAGTACTGAATAAAATACTCGTAAATTGTACGAGTACGAGTACTCGAAAATTGTATTTATAAGTATTTTATTCGTAAGTACTTTTATAGAGATAGATTACGGATACGAGTAGTAATCGTGAAAATACGAGTAAAGAGTACGAGTAGTTTCACAAAATTAACCTAATAATTAAATAAAATATAAAAAAAAAAACAAAGAAAAACCACTATAATTTTTATTTACCTGAACAAAAACAAAAAACTATTCTAAAATAAATAAAATACAAAAACTTTGTTTAGAATATAAATAAAACAAACATGGTCAACTTGACAGTAAACAATTAAATACAGTTTTTTAAAAGTGGTAATGTTTAACTTTGTAAAAACTTTGTTTCCCTACTTTATCGTTATCGTGTTAAAACAAATCAATATTATTTCGAATACGCCTTCACACGCTGAAATAGAAAGATGGGGTTTAAAAAAAAAATTAAAATTTGACTGCACCCGAAGATGGAAACAAAGTTTTTTGAAACATATATAGTGCTGTGCTTACAATAGAAAATAAAATTATTGACCGAATAAACCAAGGAACTTTTTATTTATATAAAATTCTGCTACGGTCAGGAAATTATCCTTATTCAAATTAACGAAGATTGTGTATGGAGACTATAGACGTTTAATATTTAACCGTTCTCATAGGAAACACATTTACACCACCACAAAACACCAAAAATAATAAAACGTAAAACGCCCAACGAATTGCTTTTCCCAATATTCCCAACCCAAATCAGACACTGCAGCCCGAACGCAACCGAGGCCGTTTCGTGTCGTGATACTGGCGATCGATAGTAGCGACTGGCGGTCAAAATGCGATGATAAAAAAATGCCGACTACTCGTAAAATAATACTCGTATTTTACAAGTACATTCTACGAGTAGATTTAAATTTACTTGTAAGTACGAGTAATAAGTACTTAATATAAAAAATACTTATAAGTAAAAATTACGAGTAGTTATTCTACTCGTAATCGAAATACGAGTAAAAGTATTCGAGTACTTGCCCAGCTCTGAATACTGGACATTCAAAAAACGTCCATCCCTTGATTATTTTATATTATTAATAATTAATTTATTATTTTCGCAACCCGCTATACACAATTTCTTTACTTTATCAAAAATCCCTTGTCCTGAACAATGATCGAACTCATGTCACGTCAATTATCGTTTCCAACCGCTAGATGATCTCGACCAAGGAGCCACTTGAAAAATTATTACTCGATATGGTTATAATATAATAAGATTTCAAACTTCCGCTGATAGAATGAAATGCACTAAATTTAATTTTTTTAATTTTTATTGACTAATTATATATAAAAAAGAAAGTATATATACATGGGTATTATCTGGTAGGCTAAATAAATAATGACCTAAGATGGACGCGTCTTCTGAACGCTAAAATACTACTAAACTTAAAATTAAGTTCAAAAACAAACGTCCTTCGGGTATAGATATGCAGCTGCCAAATTAATGATCATAAACGAAAGTACACTGGATGTCTGAATAAGGATATGAATGTTCTGACTCTCAAAAGGATCTAAAGTGGACGTCTATTGGACTGTGTGTTGTCTGGGTAGTAATGCTCGGTCGAACTAGTTTCAAAAGGTAGTTGAAATCTTCTTCTGACATTCCCAAAACATTTTTCATTTGTTTTTGATCTTCTGTTCTCAATTCACACAACAATGTCTTATGCCATCTAACATCACATTTTCTTGATATCCATTTTCTTGTCCATATTTACCTTTTCTTTTTCAACGAAAGTAACATGTTATTTGGGCTGGCATTTTTTAACAAATCAAATACCATTCAATTTGTAACATTTTACTAAACATGTTGCAAATCAGTGTAAATACACACGACAACATTTTCTACAATATTACCTAAGATTTCCCTCCCAACTACTTGCCACGCAATAATTTTCAAAAAAAATTGCGATATTGTAAACACATGAAAGTTTATTGGACAATAAATGTCGCAAGTTTCTTGCTAGAGTGTACAAGTATCTTTGGAAAAGCTAGCAGGTTTCTTTTTCTTGTGAACGTAACAACAAAGGTCTTCGTCAGGTTTATTACCCAACATCTTTCGAGGATATTTGGTGTATTTACTGTTTAATACGTTGCTTATATCGTCTGCAAATGCTTGCGCATAAGAGATCATCAACCACATACATTAGAGACAAAACTTCTCCCTGCGGACATCCCTTTTTAACTAATATCTATCTTGTTGTGTTAAAGATATACAGGGTGTTTCCGAACTTGGCGTCCAAATTTGTAGGGGTGGAGTTCGAATAATTTGAGACCGATTCGCAGATTTCATTTTTCCAAAATATTTAAAATAGAAATAATTAAAAATTATAAATAGGTACGGTCCTGCACAGCGATAGGAACGCCTCGACTCGCGCGCGCTATGCTTAGAATCGACAAAATTGCAAATCGCATCTGTTTTTGAGGACTATTGCGATACGCGCTCAGGGTAGGACCTGCTCTTTGATTTTTTTATAATGGCTTTATTTTGTTTATTATAATTTTTTTAGAAAAATGAAATCTGCCAATCGCTCTCAAATTATGCGAACTACCACCCCTACAAATTTGGACGCCAAGTTCGGAAACACCCTGTATAGTAATGGTAGGCATGCACTCAACTCACTACGTAATATAGTGTGTTACGCCACGCCTATGAATACATTCCAGTAAAAAAATTATACATAGTAGGTACTACTGGTACCTATATAACTCCATTAAAAAACAACTTCCAAAAAAATAATTATTTTTTTTATGCTGTTGGTGTCTTAAAAATATTATATGTGCTGAGGGTGAGAAGTCACAAAAGAAACTGAGATATCCTTATTCACATTACGAGAAAAAAGAATTTGCTTCTAAATGCATGGAAGTCGTATGAAAATAGAGGTCTGAACATTTATGTATTTATTTATTAAAGACTAATTGAAATACTGTGTATAAGAATCTTCTCTCGACCTCTCTTTGCGTTCGTTAAATTGACGATCTCCAAACTCAAGTCTACATAAGCATTCCCTACCAAATTAAATTAAAAAAAATTAAAATATTCTTTCATTTTTTATTTTTATTTTTATATATTTACCTCATTACATTGTGGATAAATTGATCCCAAATAATCGCATCACAAGGTTCACAACCTTCTCCACCAACAATTTTTCAGTGATTAAGGATCACATCTCAATCATGATACATTGGGAAGACAATGACATTGGCCATTAGTTTGGGCACAATTGCTAGCTGACTGTTGGCTCCCAGTATGACAGACACATTGTTCACATGATTTGCATCAGTATATCTAAAGAATCTTATAGCGGATTCGACTCAAATGCTCTTGCTCTATGACAAAGCGCTTTTAGTTCTGAATAGATTTTGGGCAGAATTTTTATAATTTAAATTTATATCTAGCAGTGCACACAGCAAGAACAAGCTAGAGTTCGACATTGGTGTAGCGCATCTTTATCGTTATTCGACTGGCACAGTTAGCACTTGACATTTCAGGTTTCTAACAAATTTTTAACGATATTTATTTATAGTTGCCAAACCAAAAATTAAATCTTTAATAATTTCAAAGATTTTCCATTCTCACTAATAATAAAAACAAAGATGGTAATATATTTAAAAATATTAAATAACTATTAACTTCCAAAATAACACTGGCACTGAAAAAAGTACAGTTCCAAAAAATTCGAACTTAGAGCAAGAGCGCCTGCCAGTCGAACAAAAATGTCACTATGCCTTGGTATATACCGAGCAATTTAAGTCGAATGCAATAATTGACTTTTATTTAATTAAGTTCTGCTAGTCGAACAGACACCACTTAAAAAATCTGATGTGTCCAACACATGACTTTCCTATCTAGTTATTACAGGCTTTTTCGGTTATTTTGTACAACCTATTGTAGCACCTCCATAAATGTTTAGAGGATAAAATAAATATATACATTTTCCACATACATCTACCTCAAAACATTTTTCTATAGATATTCATTGAAAATGAAAATACTGAAAAATTTAAATTTAGCACTTTTCCTACAATTTTTCCATTACGGTCCAATTTGGAAAAATCATGTATA